CCCCAAAACCCCAAAACCCCAAAACCCCAAACAATTCCTGCCCTATTGAAAATTACACTAAAACCCTCTACCCAACACCTAGTCTTCCACCCTAAATCCCCACTAGCCCACTAGCCCCCCTAGATCCATGCCCAGTGACTTCCCTTAATAGTCCTCATAAGGATCACTGCTAAGAATTCTTTAACTAGTCTTTGACAGAATTATTCAAAATGGAAATATACAGTTGTTCTTTCAGGATTGGTTCTGATCTTGAGGAAGGGAAAGCAGAACATGCTTTGGATATCTTTTGATTGGAAATTTGCTCTACTATGATTAAATTCAATCATTCACAGATTCTTCTGAAATGGGGAAAACACCAAAAGTGTCACCAAATTCGTGAGCAAATCTAGAGTCTTTTCCTCCTTGAACAGATTTGTTGGATTACAGTCTGTGAATCTGACTTTCTTAATCTGAATATTGTATGCTATAGAGGCCTTTGATAATACGCATTTTGAGTTTTGTCGATGGTATATCGGAGGATCTGAAAAATTAGGCAAAACTTACTCTGAGATTGAAGGGGAATCAATCATTCAGTAAAAGAAACGGTGTGCATGTGTCTTCAGTAGACTAAGATTTTTGATAGGTCGTTCGGCCCTAGCGATGATCTTTTTAAATGGAATTCTTGGGTGATGAAGCTGAGGGATTTAGATATACCCTTGAGATAATTTGTTAGACCTTTAGAAGGATTTGAAAAGTTTCTTATAATCTCTCAAGGATCAGAATTTTTCATTTTCTGGTAGGGACTTGTTGAACGAAATTTTTATAATTTTTGATGAATTTCCTGTTGTGAGAATCTATTTGTAAGCTATCAATCCCGTCAATTTTCATGTTTAATTTGATCAAATGTTTAATAGCTCTATTATCACTTGAAAAGGCACCCCAAATCAGTACATTTTTAGTTTTGATGCCGAGCAGTAATTCCATAATTTTCTTATCAAATTTATTTTGCTTCCTCAAAATAGTTTTCTCCGTCACTCTGTTCTTAATATTGGCATTCTTCCGGTTCTGTGTGCCATCAATGATTCTACTTCTTAGCTCCATTTTTTAAATAATATAATCTCAGTATCTTTAAATATTTAGGGGTTTTGGGGTTTTGGGGTTTTGGGGTTTTGGGG